ATTCAATGAGAAAAACAAGGTTTTTAGAGGGAAAAATTAGCCAAAAAATGGGGTATTTTTGCAAGGCTATAGCCTTACTTTTTGCACAAGTTTCAAGCCTATCAAAATTCAACTTTTTCGGGCATTAATTAAATAAAATCTCTTTTAAATACACTAGGTGTCTATAATACAACAAGATTCAGTGAGAAAAGCAAGGTTTTTATAAGGAAAAATTAGCCAAAAAATGGGGTATTTTTGCAAGGCTATAGCCTTACTTTTTTCACAAATTTCAAGCCTATCAAAATTCAACTTTTTCGGGCATTAATTAAATAAATTCTCTTTTAAATACACTAGGTGTCTATAATACAACAAGATTCAGTGAGAAAAGCAAGGTTTTTATAAGGAAAAATTAGCCAAAAAATGGGGTATTTTTGCAGGGCTATAGCCTTACTTTTTTCACAAATTTCAAGCCTATCAAAATTCAACTTTTTCGGGCATTAATTAAATAAAATCGCTTTTAAATACACTAGGTGTCTATAATACAACAGTATTCAATGAGGAAAAGAAGGTTTTTAGAGTAAAAATTAGCCAAAATTGGGGACATTTTGGCAAGGCTATAGCCTTACTTTTTTTACAAATTTCATGCCTATCAAAATTCAACTTTTTCGAATATTAATTAAATAAAATCGCTTTTAAATACACTAGGTGTCTATAATACAACAGTATTCAATGAGGAAAAGAAGGTTTTTAGAGTAAAAATTAGCCAAAAAATGGGGGCATTTTGGCAAGGCTATAGCCTTACTTTTTGCACAAATTTCAAGTCTATAAAATTGCCACTTTTTCGGGCATTAATCAAATAAAATCACTATTTAAATGCACTAGGTGTCTAAAATACAACAATATTCAATGAGGAAAAGAAGGTTTTTAGAGTAAAAATTAGCCAGAATTGGGGGCATTTTGGCAAGGCTATAGCCTTACTTTTTTTACAAATTTCATGCCTATCAAAATTCAACTTTTTCGAATATTAATTAAATAAAATCTCTTTTAAATACACTAGGTGTCTATAATACAACAATATTCAATGAGGAAAACAAGGTTTTGAGAAGGAAGAATTAGGCAAAAAATAGGGTATTTTGGCAAGACTATAGCCTTACTTTTTGCACAAATTTCAAGCCTATCAAAATGCCACTTTATTGGGCATTAATTAAATAAAATCACTTTTTAAATACACTAGGTGTCTATAATACAACAATATTCAATGAGGAAAAGAAGGTTTTTAGAAGGAAAAATTAGGCAAAAAATGGGGTATTTTGGCAAGACTATAGCCTTACTTTTTGCACAAATTTCAAGCCTATCAAAATGCCACTTTATTGGGCATTAAATAAATAAAATCACTTTTTAAATACACTAGGTGTCTATAATGCAACAAGATTCAATGAGAAAAACAAAGTTTTTAGAGTAAAAATTAGCCAAAATTGGGGGCATTTTGGCAAGGCTATAGCCTTAGTTGTTTTAAAAATTTGAAGCCCATCAAATTTCTACTTTTTCGAGCATTAATTTAAAAAAATCACTATTTAAATAAAACAAAATTCAATGAGGAAAACAAGGTTTTTAGAGAAAAAACAAAATTTGGACATTGTTGGATCTGACTACCGTAAAAATACAATGTGTTTCCATTTCCAAATCCATATCAAAGGTTTTGGTAATTCGGGCGTCAATAGATTCAAATCAATATTGAAGAGGAGAAATCTTTACTTTCTAAATAATTCTGAATATAATAATAATGTTTGGGATAAGTATTTTGGCCCAAAGTTTCGTTATCTTGGCAAATCTGTACCTTTTATTTTTATTAAAATTCAATTCTGTCAAACAGTGACTCATTTTGTATCTTTTTTTAAACTATTTTGAATAAGTAAAGCACTCATTTGTAAAATTCGTAGTTCAGATTCGTAGTTCAGAATTTTTCCAATCTTGGCATACGTTCTCAAAAATTTCTATCAAACAGATTTTTCCAATCATAAATAGACTAAAACATTATTAAAATATTACTGTGATAATCAATAAGAATTATAATAAACATATTTTGTTTTAAAAAAGCAAAATATGTCAAATATATATTCATCGGGGCATTTCAAATAATACCTAACAGCTAAATAAAAAAACATGTTCCTATTAGCAAGAAGAAAATTTCGGAAAAAATACATTTTAAAAGCAATAGAAAATAGAAATGATTTTAACCTAGACTTAACAGTATCAATGTTTAGGGAGTTACGAATGTCGACAAGTAGGCGATTGCACAATGTGGCAGCAGCGACTGGAAATGCTCCGTCTCCACGTGTTTTTTTCATCTTGTTTTTGGAATATTCAACTGCAAAGATGGATTTAACCAGAGAGATTGTGTTTGTGCCTGCATAGAGAACATATTTGCTATGTAAGATGGGGCCATGTTACCCAGTGCCTTGTATGTTAGCAGCAATATCTTCAATGCAATTCTTCTTTGCCGTACAGGAAGCCAAATGCAGCTCCTTCAATGTGGGGGAGATGGGATCATACTTTTTTATTCCGGTTTCTATACTTGCTGCTGCATTCTGTACGCGTTTCAGTTTCTGTATTTGGCAATCTGGCAGACCGTACAGTAGACTATTGCAGTAATCGAGCTTATTCCCGAGAATGCATAGATCATTGCCTCTGTAGATTTTATATCAAGATACTAACTTGTATGTCTGATTCTTCGGATTAAATAAAAACTGCGGAGCATGTCTCCTTCTTTGATTTTTCCATGGAAAAAATTTTGTTGATCATGGCACCAAGGTTTCTCAAGGAACAGACTTGGTTTAATTCAGCGTCACCAATCTTTATGGAATATATGTTCAATTTGCTTGAATTGTGCTTCGGTCCTGTTTTCATGAACTATGTCTTCCATCATTGATTTTAAGCTGATTAGCATGCATCAATTTCCTGACATCACGTATACATGTCTGAATTTACTAAAAGGCAACATATTGTGACACTTGATCGGTGGATTGGAACCAAAGGTATTTTTATTAGTCGATTGCATAGCCATGCGCATTCGGGAGATGCTGTTCCATTCTATCAAAAAGTTAACTCGCGCATAAATGTGGAGCAGGATAGGTCCTAAGCACAACCCTTGAGGAACGCCGTATACAAGTTGAGTCCTTTCAAACATTTTCCATTATCTTTTTTAAGTAGAACAGTTGATGAGTGCTTTTTGATGTTGATAAGAGCGGCATGGCTCTATTTTGCTGACGCTGAGATTGATAAACAGCTAGTCAGCCCAATTTCTGATTAACAAAGTTGGGCTCTTTGACTTCCTTGATACTCAAAGCTAGATTTTAAAATGGATACATTCAGCAATGATAAAGGCAAAGTTATGGATTCATTGCACAGAGTTGTGCGAAAGAAGAGGCTGATAAGTTTTTGGAACCGGGTTCATGAGCAGCGCCAGCCGCAAAATATCAAGCTTTTGCAATTTACCTTTCCCAAACCCTCTTGAAACGTACAGTTTTCTAGACACGAAATTTGCCTTAAGCGCGGACGCTAACGACCTGTGAAACTTGAATTGAAATATTCAAAGAAAAATCTCCGTAAAGAAGAACCTACCTTTTCCAAAGTCGGGCTGTTCTTGGCTGTTGTTTCAAATGATGCATATGGCAGTGGCAAGTTCAAAGGCTCTTGCATTCGATTCTCATCTAAAAGGTGAATTTTGATTATGATCTTCATCAGCGATGCCTGGCAAAAATGGTATCTCGTGACAAGAAATGGTTCAGGGGACATTGATTTTTCAAATAAAAGCCTTATGATTCATCAAGCAAAGATAAGTTTTCAAAAACAAAGTGCCTAATACAAGAAAAACAGTCTGTAGGTTCCTAAATTGTTGGGTCTTTCTTTTCTAGAGTGTACTGAGAAATAAGATAATCTGCACTGTAAATTCAATACTCTAACTAGGGACAGAAGTTATGATACACGCTGTGGGCAAAATACCCCGTCAGAAAAACATGCCATATACACGAAGGAATCAGTCATAAGGCTACGTTTCAACATCAACGAGAGCAAATTGGGCCATTGATTGGTTCGACGACGTAAGGCGTAAACCTACCATTAACTTCTAACAGGAAGAGGGCGCTGACGGAGGTTTCGCAAAACCCAAAATAAAATGATATTGAGGAGGAAATATGCAAGATAAAGTATCTTTTCTTCACTATGAGCCGATGCACCAGTCCTATCTAAAAGCATCGAAACTTTAATAGCATAAAAGATGCTCAAAGGTATGAGCAATTTTCATAATGCTAGAAAAAGAGATTGAAACTGTAACGGTCATAGAGAGAAAAGCAAATTTTCATGAAAGAAAGCCAATTGAGAATGGGTGGGCTGGGAAAGAGCGAATAGCACACTTGTAATAAGGCTTCACCAGGCAAAGTGAGACCAACGCTATGTTGCGCCCATAACAGGCACTGCGAAGCGCTGAGAAAAGTGGGGATCTAGAAAAAGGGGGAATAATAAAAGGCTTTAATGGTGGTTCATATCTTAGTTATTTTTATCTTTTGCATCCTCTGCTCCGCGGTCAGGGGCGAAAATACCGGGGGGGTGTGGGGGGGGGGTGTGACACCCCCCCAATCTTAAAATCAGCCGATTTCGCAGGGCAATCGAAGATTTCGCAGGGCGCCAAGAAGAGCTTTATTGCCACGCAGAAACGCCATCTCTGAAGTTCGTAAAGGGCCGTTTACGAATTTTGAAATGGAAGTATTATATTTGTTATCAACCTCCCTTTCTGACATTCCATTTTAGAGAACGGAACAGTTATGTCAGGAAGAGCTCCGTTATTAGTACCCTGGGTACCAGACTCACTATATAAATAATAGAGAGTCTGGTCTAGTGCGCCCCATTCTCGTTCTGGTGAACTTACTTGAAAGAACTGAAGTCTATTTAACAGACTAGGCCTGTGAATCAAGACTGTCGGAAAAATAACAAAGATACTCAGTAGTCGGAGGAGTTTTGGGAAATCTTAAAGCAAATGTATTTTATATAGTTCTGTAAAGTTGACATTATAAATACAGTGATCACAGACTTTTCTGCCTCAAGATTCCAATCAAATCAGGTGTAAAACGCCTTGGCAGCAAAAAGCATATGCGAAGCATGAAATTAAAGTTAGCACAATGCAGTTATTAAATGTTAATCATTGTTAAATTTCGCATACAACTTAAAGTCTTTTGGGACACCGCGGCGGTTAGAATCATCACGTTGGAAGTTCACCACAGCAAATATGGCCAATATGACAAGCGAAGCCCCGTATGCCGGGGGAAATATTAGCCATAACTGATTTACTTGTGTTTGTTGTTGTTTGTTCTCGGTGCCTTGCGGTGTTTCTTATTTACTGCATTTCACTACAAGGCCTAATTTCTTTGCAATGAGAGGCACTGCCTGAAATATCAGAGACTTTCCAAAGCCAGTTGGCAATATGGCGAAGGTGTCTCTTCTCTCTACAAACAAGGCTTTCAATGCTGTTCTGTGTTCAGTCCCACAACATTCTCTCGAATTATTGTCATTTTGACACATCTCATGCTGTTTTTAGACCCATATTATACAAAACGCGAATCTGGGGATATACGTATCTGGGGATGGAAAAATATTGGCAATGGTATCCCTGTGGTCGTTTGGTATCCCTGTGGCCGCGAATCTGGGGATGAAAAATACTGCCTAGGCCAACAAGCAACATTGGAAACAAAGTGGTAGAAAAGTGACATTTATCTAGTAGAATTTGACGGAGAACCGCATATTGCTGCATATTCTCTCGAATTATTGTCATTTTGACACCTCTCATGCTGTTATTAGACATATATTATACAAAACGCGAATCTGGGGATGAATCTGGGGATGGAAAATACGCATGCCTAGGCCCGCTAAAAACATCAAGAATAAATTGGCAAGAAAAAATTTTTATCGAGTAGAAATAGAAAGGAAACTCTGGAAATAACATATTTTCTTGCTAATCATTGTCATTTCGATACATTTCGAGCAGTACAAGCAAGTTTTCGAATCTGGGGATGAATCTGGGGATGAATCTGGGGATGAATCTGGGGATGAATCTGGGGATGAATCTGGGGATGAATCTGGGGATGAATCTGGTGCTGAATGGTACGCGGTGAAATATTCTTTGAGTCCAGTTTTAACAGCATCTTCAAACTCAATCGTTACGGTCGCTAGCATTTATTTATGTTCTGTTCTGTTCAATGTTTTACACCAGAGCTAAGTTTATTGTTTCGCTGTGACCTTTGAACGTACAGAAATCTGTACACTCGCTCCTGATTGGTTAATATCAGCACACCAGAACGAGAATGGGGCGCACTAGACCAGACTCTCTATTTTATTTCATATATAGTGAGTCTGGTACCCAGGGTACGTTATTAGCAGAGCGAAAGCTGTTATGCAATTAGTTTTGTGTTTTATTGCCCGCAACTCGCGCGCGATAGCGCGCGAGTGAAGGGCTTATAGTCTGCCCCGCGTATAAGTAGCATATGGAAGCTTCAGTTCATGTTGTCAGCACTTTTTCAGCAGATTTTGTCACTTTTCTGCTGCCATGACAACTGTCAATCAATTTCATTGTCAATCAATCGGCTTTGTCGGGGAGGTCGTTAACCGCCACCTCTTTGTGCGGAAGGGAATTATCTTCGGAGCGTTGCTCTGCCAAGCCTCTGTTAAAGGCCTTCGGTTTTTTTGGCACGAAAACGGTGCTGCATCACAGCTCTGTTCTCCGCAATGGATGGAAGTTTTGTTTCGAAGTTTTGGGAATCAAAACCAGTCGAATGCCACACTTTTCTCCCAAAAACTCGAGACCGTACGAGCAAAAGTTATGATTTTCGTGATTATCGAAAAATAAATGTCAAACCCTCGAAAAACTTCATGATTTTCAAAAGGGCGTTGGACTTAAATCAAAGGCAAACTGAACACCAAAAATTCTTGATAAAAAGAATAGTTTAGCATCAACTAGAGCAGCTGTTTTTATAGAATTGTGAAAACCCAAGATGGTGTCTTCTTCGAATATCCTGACCTACATTTTCAAAACAATCATTATCAAGGAACTAATTGTTTGCGGGCAGTACTAGCAAGAGCTATTTCTAGTTTAGTTTTATGATATTCAGTTGCCTGTTCTTTTGGTGTTCTTGATAGTTCCGTTGTTTGTCACCTTGCCATCAACATTCCGTGTTATTGCATCATCCCATCGCCACTAATGTTGTCATCGGTCCTTTTGTTTGTTTGAAGTAATTATTTTGTTATCGTAATTAGGGTGTGTTGTCATGTGATTTTTATGCTGTGCGTTGCTTGTGAATTCAGTCGTTACGTAAAGCCGTCAAGTAAAGTCGTTTTGAATCCGTGCCGTTTTGCGATGTTGCCGTTACGTGGAATCGTTGTTTAGTAAAATTGAACTTATTATCGCCGCCGTTGCTTTTTGGATGTTTAATTACCGAACTGTTGATTTTTCTATATAAAAACTGCTACTACTAATTGAATTGCTGTACTTTATGCGAAGAAGAACTTCTGTGAAACTTAGTAGTTTTACAAAGCATTCCTTACCGAAAATCATAGCCAATGGATGCAGTGATTGATGCATAAGTTTATGAGGGCAAGGTTGAGTCCACACAAATTAAGTCAAGTTGTAAATTATTTTCATGACAGGTACGGCACCACTGGGGGGAATAGAGGGCTGAAGGCCCCCACTTTGGTCAAGATAAGAATTTTTTATCCTTTTTTCTATAACTTTTTAACAGAGTGTTAAATAAAAAGAGAATAAACTGTTAAGATGCTGATTTTGTTTGATCTAATTGCTAACTTATTCATGTATTTCTATTTTTTTTATTTGTATTAATTATGTAAATCATTTTCTGTATTATTGCAATGTTTTTATTTTGGAAGTGTAAACATGGCCTTTTCGAGATAAGAAACTGCACATTCTGTTTAGGAAATGAAATTCTCCCAATCAAAACAACATTGCTGTCATTCACAACTATGTGCTATCTGAAGCGAAAGGTTACCGTTTCTTTCCTTCCCCAACATCTATCGCTAGCGTTTTAGCATGACATCCCCCTCCCAATTTTTCAAACAAACAATTATCAGTTTTTTAGCAGTATAGTATTTTGCTAAATTTTAGTCTGGGAGATGCTTTTTAGACCTTTTACAAGGTATAATTTCAAAAAATTTTCTTCACGTCGGACCCAACCATGGTGGGTCCTCCTACCTCACTAAACTTGATATGCCATGAAATACAAGCTTTACTACAAAGGAAAATCAAATTTGACATTTAATTCACGCTCACGTAAAAAATGATATTTCATAGGCAATGAAGTTTCAAGTTTTTTTTATTGCTTAGAAGTTTGTTCTTGGTAAAGACTAATTTGCACTGGTAAAGCTTTCACTAGTAACCTATAGACAAACCTTTGCTACGAGGTCTGCAGGGCACCACTCATTTTCGCAGGGCAGAAATCCTTTTCACCCCCCCCCCCAAACCTTTTGGTCAAGTTACGCCCCTGTCCGCGGTGCCTGCATAAATACTTTGGGTTCAACCAAAGGATGAAAATGCTATAAAACCAAACAAGTTTCCCTATCATTCTAAACCAAAAACACCAGGCGGACAAAGGACTCCCAGCATTGTGCATACCCTTGTGGAACGGATACAAGTAAAATGTAATCAAGCAGGAAGACAATAGAGTACCGAAGTGTGACGTCATCAAAATTCTATATTTAGAATTTCTTAAATTTGGCCGCATAATCTGAAAGAATGGCATAAAATAACTCTCATTGTGCAAAATTGGTTAGATATGTTCCAAACTGGGCGAGACATAACATTATCTGTCTTTCCACTGTTTTATACAATTTGTCTTTTAGCTTTCTTGGCATTCTTATGTCAGTGATCATACTGGATAATTCCTCCACTTGCTCCAGGCCCCTTTAACTCCAGCCCTGACAGCTGTTTCCGAACCACCTTCCTCGCTTACTGTCATACCTATATATTTAAACTACTGCCATACCTAGATACTCCAGCTAGATGAGAGTGCTAAAATCGTCGAATGAAAAAATTTCGTCATAAGGAAGTTCATGTAAGGGGGCTTCCATTAAATTGCTTCATCTTCCTCATCCCATTGTTCGTAAGGACATGTAAGACATTGTTCGTAAGGCAATAATACCCCCACCTCCCTCCTTTCAACAGCCCTGTGAAGGTACAGGGCTCTAAAAAATCCAAAATGAGAAAAATAATGCGGTACAAAAAACCATTGGTAATCATGTCCTCGTGTTTCTGATTGGCCCATTTCGATCCACAGCTGAGTATTTATATTTCTACCTTGAGTTTTGCAGCTTTGTTCGACTAATGTTCTGAAGAGTGGCAGACGAAAAGCTTAAGTATGTTTCAAAATGTTTGAATTTTATAAAGACAACTGTGTTTTTCTTTGCCTAGAATAAAAGATTCAACACGGGACACAAAAACAGTGCGTTTAGGGGTTTCCGATTGCGTCAGGTCGTAACGGCTTTTTGCTACCGTTGAAGCCTGTGGTTTCGCTAAATTTATTTTGATTCGGTCCCAGACTATCTTGGATCCCCTTGAAAGAGGAAGCATTTACCAGCTTCGAAGAAAGCTGAGACGAACAGTCTTTCAGAACGTAAATAATGGGAACATCACAGTCAAATACAGCAAGTACGAGAGTATTTTCAATCTTACTAAATTATGCATTATTTCTGACTTGCTTTGCGTCTCTCCTGCTGTACACAGTCATGACAAGAAGAGAATTGGCAAATTCGATCGATAGAATCGAAAACAAGATGTACAAAGAATACGTGGCCATTTTCAGAAACACCGAGAAGAGATTGAGGGATCTCGAGAAGTGCTGCAAAAACAGCAACCAGGAAATCGAGGAAACAGAAAACAGCGAGAGATTTTTTCAGAGTATGATTTATTTTTTCACTTAAGCTTTTCTTGTTGCTTTTGAGAATCGTACTTCTAACAAACTAAACTAATGCATCTATTGACTAAGGTTGAAGGTATCGAATTTTAAATTCTGCATGCGCAGGAGATTTTAATTTCTCTATCTGCAAATGGATAAAGCTTCGTTGTTCGGAATGATATGCCAATTCCAGCTCTTTTGTGGTTGCTTTCGTCAATTAGTATGGTAACGAAATGTAAAGGAATAAAAATAAGGAAATTTTCCGTTTTTCCGTTAAAATAAGGAAAGAAAAAGCCGTTTTCAGGCTACATTAAACAATATCAACATTAAACAGGCAATAATAACTCGATGTTCAAAACTTACTCGAACCTGTTTCAATTTTTTTCGGATATGAGCATGTAAGGAAATATTGTTGCACAGGAACCTTTCTTGAAATTAATTACATTTATCATGTTTGGTTTATCAAATGCACATTTGATATCTCGTTTATGACGAAGGGGGTATAAAAGACGAAAGAAAAGAAGAGCGAATCAAGAAGAACAAATAACATTATTTAAGCTGATAACGAGGCTACCAAACGGAAGCTTGATACTTTCGACTTGTCTCCGAGGACCAATAGGGCTACCAGGTCCCACAGGACCACAAGGCCCAATGGGGCTACCAGGCCCCTCAGGACCATCTGGGCACAAAGGAAGACGTGGAAAGGCTGGGCCGATGGGTTTCAAGGGCAGCAAGGGGGACTCTGGAATGACTGGACTAAAGGGTGCTAAAGGTGAAAAGGGTAACAGAGGCTCACAAGGACGCGATGGAGGACGAGGGCCACAAGGAATCAAGGGAAACAAGGGAGAGTCGATAGCTGTACCCAAAATTACAATTCCGCCGAAAAATCAGACGGTAATAGCAGGCAATATAGCGACATTTACTTGTGAGGCCACGGGCAGTCTGGTACCAGAAATAAGTCTAATGCCGGTTGAGAAGAACTTGATTAATCGAAGGTACAAATGGGTAGGGGACGGAATGTTGATGATTGAAAATGCAAAGAGCACAGATGATGGCGAGATAATTTGTGTGGCAAAAAGTGTCATTGGAGAAGACAGCATGATTGCTTCATTGAAAGTGAATTGTGAGTATCACTGAGTATCTAGGTTTTGTTGATATTGAAAGAAATAGGGTTTGTCGTGTGCGCTGAAAAAATCAGCAACTGAAAGGATTAGGAATATTTTCATTACGCGTTTTCTATTCTTCATTTGTTAAGGCGTTGACTAAACAATCAGGAATAAAGGTGCTAGTATTTTCAAAACACTTAAGTTATAGTTAAGTTATATAACCAACAAAAATAGCGACATCTGAAACAACACGGTGGAACATCTCCTAACATGAAAAACCTGTCCAATCTATTGACATATGGTTGAGGTACAACCAATTAAAGTGACGAAGATTACAAAAGGGTTAATTGCTGGTTTTTTCATAGTTTTATCTATGTTACAGGGAGTGTTCGTAAAACCTAAGATCATGCCGTTACGGAGGCATCTAGGGCCCAAGGGTTAAACTCGGACGGGGCCCCTATTTTCGGACTGCAAGAAAGTCCAATCAAAAGGTGCAGAGCATGTCAAGCACGAAGATGTAAAAATGATAATTGTGAAGCTGACTTTTTTATTTTAGCTAAAGAGCTTTAAAGCATTTTGAAAATTAGGTGAACTTGAGGAAAGTTTTCAGAACATGGATATCAAAATAAATTGGGGGCCCTTTAAATGGGGGGGGGGCCCTTAGTTAACCAACTAAACGCCAATGACTTAGACAGGTTTCCATATATTTTACAGTTTTTAAGACATAGGACGTCTTCAAGGACATAGGAAGACATAGGATGTTCTTTCAAATTTTGCTGTCCAAATTAAAATATTGCTTTCATTTCATTTCGATTTGTTCGTTCTACAAAAAAGTGTTTAGTGAGTGATCAATAAAAGGAACTCTTTAAAGATACCATTTGGTGCGTTTCAAGAATTCGGTATAATGGCAAACTGCGAAGGCAAATGATAA